AGAGTAAGCGTCTTCTGCTTCATCGACACCCACCATGTAGACCCTGGTCACCCCAAGAAAATAATGCCATGTTCTCAAATGAAAACTAATGATCTCGTGGGGAAATATTAGACATGTTTGGTTCTCGATAGATTGTCTTACGCATCGCCTGTTGTAATCCTTGATCCCTTTGGAAATGCGACAGCGTTTAATTGATTTGACCAAGATATCTCCCTTCCGGAACCCCTGGTCTTGTTCTGGTACTTTTTTGCGGTCTTCGTGTTATACTGTCCTTCGCACGTTTCCCTAGTTTCATTGCATTTTAGGTTCAGAGGAAGATTTTGTGGCGTAACAATATCCATAGCTAAATGTTCTTTAAAAAGAATAAATTTCATGTGGCAAAATTTTAATTACTACACAAGAAATTTGTCAGAAATGAAAAAAAAAACAAAGATTTGCAGAGATGTGATGTTCGTTTAATGTAAGTTATAAAGTAAAGGAGCTTTTTTCAACATGGTGAACGAAACTTTATCGAAAACAGCGAGAAAGACCATCACTTATTGGCCAGTAGCCTTGTGGTCCGTACCAAAATTAAGTATGAGCGTGTCGTGTAGTCACGTGACTAGTGAACTAAGCGGTTAAACTCTAAATATAGCTTACACTGCTTAATAGGACAATGTTTGGTGAAAAGGGTTCAAAAGGTCGCATATCATGTCGTAAGCAATTGTAGTAGTAGGCATTTATTATCACGATGGAAATATATCGATTTAATTAACATTAAATGTTGGTTACGCTTTCTAATCGAGGACCAAAGCGGGTATTCATTGAACTAGGATGAAGGTATGCTCCATATAAGAGAGTGTGAGAAGCATGCGTCGTCTTAACGTCTGTCCAGTCAAAATTTCTTTGAAGAAGACTTATCTACACCAGATGTACTGACAAAGCTTCAACTGTTTACATTTAACGGTCAACTTGATCCTTGACAGGTATACACTTTGATTTAATTACCGGGTATAGACAGATCTGGTGACGACCCTGATCGCTCTATTGACAGGTAACAATACGCAATCCGACGTCTCAGTATATTTGATAGAAAAGTTCAGCATGTGTATTCACTACAGTGGTCTTTTGATGTTAAAACCAGTTAGGCTATTGTTATCAAGGTAGGCCATTATTAAGAAGTAGTCTGTTTTTCGGTACGTCAATTTACAAGTTAAATGTATCTTTTTTAATTTTATGCACCTGGGAATTCACGCCTAGGAAAAGGGATATATGATAACAACAACAAAGAGGCAAAAAGGGCAACTACATTAACAGTAACTAAAATGTCTACAGACAGACACGTACACATATATACAGGTAAACAACATTGTAAAATGTCTACAGACAGACAGGTACACATAGATACAGGTAAACAGCATAGTAAAATGTCTACAGACAGACACGTACACATATATACAGGTAAACAACATTGTAAAATGTCTGCAGACAGACACGTACACATATATACAGGTAAACAGCATAGTAAAATGTCTACAGTCAGACACGTACACATATATACAGGTAAACAGCATAGTAAAATGTCTACAGTCAGACACGTACACATATATACAGGTAAACAACATAGTAAAATGTCTACAGACAGGTACACATATATACAGGTAAACAGCATAGTAAAATGTCTACAGACACGTACACATATATACAGGTAAACAGCATAGTAAAATATCTACAGACAGACAGGTACACATAGATACAGGTAAACAGCATAGTAAAATGTCTACAGACAGACACGTACACATATATACAGGTAAACAGCATATTGAAATGTCTACAGACAAACAGGTACACATGTATACAGGTAAACAGCATAGTAAATGTCTACAGACAGGTACACATATATACAGGTAAACAGCATAGTAAAATGTCTACAGACAGGTACACATATATACAGGTAAAGAGCATAGCAAAATGTCTACAGACAGACAGGTAATCATATGTACAGGTAAACAACATTGTAAAATGTCTACAGACAGACACGTACACATATATACAGGTAAACAGCATAGTAAATATCTACAGACAGACAGGTAATCAAATATGTCTACAGACAGGTACACATATATACAGGTAAACAGCATAGTAAAATGTCTACAGACAGACACGTACACATATGTACAGGTAAACAGCATAGTGAAATGTCTACGGACAGACACGTACACATATATACAGGTAAACAGCATAGTAAATATCTACAGACAGACAGGTAATCAAATATGTCTACAGACAGGTACACATATATACAGGTAAACAACATAGTAAAATGTCTTCAGACAGACACGTACACATATAAACAGGTAAACAGCATAGTAAAATGTCTACAGACAGGTACACATATATACAGGTAAACAGCATAGTAAAATGTCTACAGTCCGACACGTACACATATATACAGGTAAACAGCATAGTAAAATGTCTACAGTCAGACACGTACACATATATACAGGTAAACAACATAGTAAAATGTCTACAGACAGGTACAGGTAAACAGCATAGTGAAATGTCTACAGACAGACACGTACACATATATACAGGTAAACAGCATAGTAAATATCTACAGACAGACAGGTAATCAAATATGTCTACAGACAGGTACACATATATACAGGTAAACAACATAGTAAAATGTCTAGACAGACACGTACACATATATACAGGTAAACAGCATAGTAAATATCTACAGACAGACAGGTAATCAAATATGTCTACAGACAGGTACACATATATACAGGTAAACAGCATAGTAAAATGTCTACAGACAGACACGTACACATATGTACAGGTAAACAGCATAGTGAAATGTCTACAGACAGACACGTACACATATATACAGGTAAACAGCATAGTAAATATCTACAGACAGACAGGTAATCAAATATGTCTACAGACAGGTACACATATATACAGGTAAACAACATAGTAAAATGTCTACAGACAGACACGTACACATATATACAGGTAAACAACATAGTAAAATGTCTACAGACAGGTACACATATATACAGGTAAACAGCATAGTAAAATGTCTACAGACAGACACGTACACATATATACAGGTAAACAGACACGTACACATATATACAGGTAAACAGCATAGTAAAATATCTACAGACAGACAGGTACACATAGATACAGGTAAACAGCATAGTAAAATGTCTACAGACAGACACGTACACATATATACAGGTAAACAACATAGTAAAATGTCTACAGACAGGTACAGGTAAACAGCATAGTGAAATGTCTACAGAAAGACACGTACACATATATACAGGTAAACAGCATATTGAAATGTCTACAGACAGACACGTACACATATATACAGGTAAACAGCATAGTAAATATCTACAGACAGACAGGTAATCAAATATGTCTACAGACAGGTACACATAGATACAGGTAAACAACATAGTAAAATGTCTACAGACAGACACGTACACATATATACAGGTAAACAGCATAGTAAAATGTCTACAGACAGGTACACATATAAACAGGTAAACAGCATAGTAAAATGTCTACAGACAGACAGGTAATCATATATGTCTACAGACAGGTACACATATATACAGGTAAACAGCACAGTAAAATGTCTACAGACAGACACGTACACATATGTACAGGTAAACAGCATAGTGAAATGTCTACAGGCAGACAGGTACACATATATACAGGTAAACAACATAGGACCATACTGAATTAATAATAGGACCATACTGAAGTAGTGTTAGGACCATACTGAAGTGATGTGAGGACCATACTGAAGTAATGTTAGGACCATACTGAAGTGATGTTAGGACCATAGTGAATTAATGTTAGGACCATACTGAAGTAATGTTAGGACCATACTGAAATAATGTTAGGACCATTCTAAAGTGATGTTAGGACCATAGTGAATTAATGTTAGGACCATACTGAAGTGGTGTTAGGACCATACTGAAGTGATGTTAGGACCATACTGAAGTGGTGTTAGGACCATACTGAAGTAATGTTAGGACCATACTGAAGTGATGTTAGGACCATACTGAATTAATGTTAGGACCATACTGAATTGTACTGTTAGGACCATACTGAAGTAATGTTAGGACCATACTGAATTGTACTGTTAGGACCATATTGAAGTGATGTTAGGACCATATTGAAGTGATATGAGGATCATACTGAAGTGTACCGTTAGAACCATACTGAAGAATTGTTTTATACACGACTACTACCACGGTGTTATATAGAGATCGATGAGGTTTATATGCTCTAGCAATAGTGAGTGATGCTGCTGAGTATGGGCACTTATTCTACGTGTTGGATGTAGGTATCGACCAATTCCAGGAAAGTTGAAGCCGGGAGCTCTTTGGATTTGAAAAGGAATTGGCGTTTTCATTCGTTAATACACTCTCGATACGAGGTTTTGAAAACGAAAAGCTGATACAACTTATAAAGTTTGAACATAAACTATCAGGGAGTATCGCACACATAACTATTTAATACAAATAAACCATGTTTTAATGGATTTGATAAAGATGAAATTAGTCAGCAATCACATCTCGAAATATCCATTGTTAAATCTTCAGTTCAGCCTGTAGTTGCATCGAATTTAAACATTCGTCCTACCTACATGTGTGTACAGATCTTTGATAATATTAGTCCCTTTAACAGTATGTAAGGACAAACGAGCTGTAGTAAGACCATAGCAGAAAACAGCTTACCTGTGTAATACATTTATAGCACAAAAATGCAATGCACAAAAATAGCAACGTTTTATCATACACACTAGGTAAAGCCAGCGTGGGTACGTAACACAAACTTTTCTTGTCCGGGCAGTTTGCAAATCAAGTTTGTGTGTGAAACTTTACGTCAGCCAATGGGGTGGCGGCGAACAGGCGTTCTACCTACGTGAACCGCTCCAATGAATTTATATACCGAGAACTCCTACAAACATGCGTCAGTGTGGTGGGATTACTGAACGGTGTGGATCGCTATTTCGTATCTGTCACCGGCAGGACAGGATTGGAAAACTTTAGTATTTTCTTGTGACAGTTTTTCTAAACTTTGCTACTCGGATTTTTACAACTTTATCACTTATACTTTTTCTGTTTAGATAGCAGCATATTGCATCAAAATGTCGGAAAAGGCAAAATTAAGGATGAGTAGCAGTGGTCCGATCGTCATCAATAGGGTCTCAAGGAAGTCCATGGGTGGTAGAAGTATGAACATGGGCATGCCAGGTATGATGATGAACGCCCGGATGTCCATGGGTGGACGAGTGAATCCAGGATCAGCAACTTCACAAACAAGCGAACACATTCAGGTAGTCAAAGATAGAAACGATTTGGAAAAGAAAGCTTTCCAAGAATGCAACATGAAGCTAGCGAAAAAAGTGGAGAAGGAGAAGTTTCTCGTTGCCCAGAACAAGATTCTTGCCCAAGAACTGGAAATGCTTAGAGGAAAAAAGAATTTGGACCGCACTGATCTTGAAAAAGAGTGTCTGGATGAGATAGAACAGTACAAGGAACAATTGGCAGAGCTAAATAAGGAGAAAGCCGAGTACTGCTCAAAAAATGCCAACCTGGACGATCAAGTTCAAGACCTCAAGAGCTCGTAAGTAATGTGAACCATTTTCTCATTTCTTACACAGCATTTATGCTTCAATATCTGTAATTCGATTTTTTAATATGTTATTTATTATTATTACCTTCCCTGATATTTATCTTTGAAAATGCGTGTAGTTACTTGCATTTCAACAACTGTCACAGAACCCCTATTTCCTTGTCAGTGGATTGATTTTAAGCACTTTGACGATAGGTTTGTGCTTTTTTCTGCTGACATTACTAATTTATAACCGATTGACGATGTCACGCTCTGACGCTCCGCGACAGTGTCGGAGAGGTTAAGTACTCTGTTGCTATTCTGACAAAGATAACATGTTTACTATGAGCTATACAATGCCATTTGGACAGCCTTTTTTCCTTGAGAAACAAGGCTAGCGTATCTATTACTTAAAACAATTATTAAATCTGTTGATTTATTTTGGATTCCATATATCAGAGCAGCTAGAAACTGAAACGACGATATGATATTGACCAATTGACGGATAATTTGTGACTTCGGAAAGTTTGTGTTTAAAATATACGACACTACACATAACCTTGCTTGATATGTCTCGATAAACGGTATTTATGACGGAGCCCCGCCTGTTAGGTGTTTACGGAGTGTTTGAGTTACGTTTATGCAAATGTCTTGGTGATGCTTCCACCGCACGTTAATGTCGTAGCTTCTGCATAAAATCTTCGTGTAAAATATCTACTTTATTATGCAACGTGGAAATTATTTATTGACGAAGATACAATTTTAGTATGAACATGTGTAATAGAAATGTAAGATACTTTGTCACTGTACGATCTCTACAGCTAGCCAGCAACCGTAAAACACGTGAATCTATTCAGTGAATTATAACAAGTGTAAACCACGCCCATTTTGTCGATGGGCGCCTAAACACATACACATATTGAGTAGATTAATTTCATTCATTGGTATACTGAATGAATGAATGAGTGATTTTCATACACGCGTACCTGTGTAACTAGAGTAATGCATTAAATACACAGACAGCATTGCACGTACTAAAAACATAATTGCTTTTAATTCTAAAATCTGACAGCCAGGGGTGGAGGATAGAATTTCAGCCAGAGGACTTTGATTTGAGACGTACTATCACCCAAAAGGATTTTAAAATTGTAGGTACAGTAGGATTTCACGGTACACTGCACATCAATGATCGGGACTATATATAGTCCATGTATAGACAGAGCCTTACATTAATATAGACCTGGGATACGATATATCTAGGTATTATCTACACAATAACGCACTAAATAATCGGATTGTGAAAGTAGACTTTTCTATGTAGTTTAGGACGATGGATTGCCAGAAACACATAACAATATCGTTATCTATTCAGATTCATACACATACAGCTAAAGATGACTTTATGTAATGTTACCAACCAAATAAGGTAAATAAATATATCTGTTTGTTCCATAATGCCTATTACTTCAAAGAATACCAATTTCAGTCAATAATACCACTGATATGTATAATCGGTAGATAGGTAGATAACACGATATGTATTACGAGGAACAGAACTAGACCAGATCATGTTGTAAACTCAATGTTTGATTATTAGAAAATACAGATGGTTTTATTAGATGAATAGGACTTCAATTTGAAACCACGGTGAATTCATTCCTTTTCTCAACAGTCCATGCATCTGTTTGGACTCGCTGTTCATAGATAATTTAAATTGTCACGACTTGATACCACCTGCCGATGGTAAAGGGAATGGGATCGCATTGGCTGGTAATATTAGTGTTAATATTAGTGTTAATATTAAGGTGATCACAGGTGTACTAGCTGGTGAATTAGTTCTCGTTCTACCTGGTAGTATACAACTATATATAACCTTTAAAACAGATGACATCATTCTTTTCTTTATTCCATGTACAAATGTTGATTATAATGGTTTAGAATTGTTGATTAACAGATGTCACAAATTAATTATCTAAATGCATGACCGGGGAAATACTTTTGTGTTTACCACTGGTGACGCGCAGTCAAGCGGACATTGTCACCGAAAACATACTCTACACTTTTACAACCTGTAAAAACATATTCAAGTTAATAAGGCTGTCTGTTACCAGAAGACAACTGCAATGGCGTAGATGCAGTTACCTCCGGGGTGCAACGAAGCGAAACTTGGTGACAAACAAGGTGTCCTTCATGGCATGGCGTCTGACCTTCAGACACCACTAGATCTGCTACTAGTACCTAGAGATTACAATGAACTCGTGTGAGAGATATACGTACTGAGGTAATATAATACTACTTCAAAGACGATTGCTCGACAAATACGATCACATATACCTTAACATGCATGAATGAACTTGTGACAAACACGAAGGAAAGTCGACAATAACAAGCTGTGTGCTTAAAAGTTTCAAATGTCACGGAATATGTAATTTTGTCCAAATGAAATCTTGGTTTTCAGGTTTGCAGAGATAATATAATTTGTATAGTGAATTTCAACCTTTAGGTTATGTTTACACTCATGACCTGGGCGGTCTCACATTAATGACATTGTGTGGTTTCTATCATCATAACTTTCATATCCAAGTTATCAGGCTGTAGAAGTTAACTAGATGATGATAAATGACGAGGAAGTGTATTCATTTGAGTGGAAAGATCTAAAAACGAAAAAACTTATCAAAAAATGACGGTAACTTATCTAACAGTTTCACAAGGGTGTTGGGATGGAGTGGAGTTTCAAATACGATATGTCAATTATTATATGTGTATTTTAACAAATTATTTCTTGAAAGAAAATTATTTTCTAATATTTCCTGATTGTGCTCTAACGAATGATACTTCATCGCGTAATATATATCACTGAATGGTCAGGTAGCGAATTGGTGACGTCTTACAACTTGGCGTTTTTTGTAGTTTTTTGTTGCAACATTGCAAAACAGATATGTTCTAATGCATTTTGTAGAAAGTACAAGAAGTACGCCCATGAATAGGTTCTAGACAGAAAAATGAAAATTATAAATATCTTTTTTTTTTATCGAGAAGGAAAGCTACGATGCCTTACAACATATATATATATATATATATATATATATATATATATAATGACAGCCACGACACCAAAAAGTTTACATTGCCAATTCCATCCGATCCATATATGAGAACCACCTGACGCACTGAGCTTTGATAGGAGTCGCAAAAACTCAGTTGCCTAAATTATGAAAATATGACGGGTGTGGATCGATACCCGCCTACCCGTGGCGGTTTATTTTTTTCGCAAGACATCAACTTTACATAGGCCACCGTGCTGTTTACTACTAACACTGAGGTGTGATATCAAGTCTACATAGGCCACCTTGCTGTATACTAGTAACATTGAGGTGTGACATCAACTTTACAGCAGGCCACCGTGCTGTATACAAGTAACACTGAGGTGTGACACCAGGTCTACAGTAGGCCATCGTGCTGTACTCTAGTAACACTGAAGTATGACACCGGGCCTACAATAGGCCAGTTCTGTATACTAGTAACTCGGATATGTGACATCAAGTTAACATATGCCATCGTTCTGTATACTACTAACACAGAGGTGTGACATCAGGTCTACAGTAGGCCACCGTGCTGTAAACTAGTAACACAGAGGTATGACATCAGGTCTACAGTAGGCCACGGTGCTGTATACTAGTAACACTGATGTGTAACATCAGGTCTACAGCAGGCAACCGTGCTGTATACTAGTAACACTGAGGTGTGATATCAGGTCTAGAGTAGGACATCGTGCTGTATACTAGTAACGCAGAGGTGTGACATCAGGTCTACAGTAGGACATCGTGCTGTATACTAGTAACACTGAGGTGTGACATCAGGTTTACAGTAGGCCACCGTGCTGTATACTAGTAACACTGAGGTGTGACATCAGGTCTACAGCAGGTCACCGTGCTTTAAACTAGTAACACTGAGGTGGGATATCAACTTTACAGTAGGCCACCGTGCTGTATACTAGTTACACTGAGGTGTGACATCATTTTTACAGTAGGCCACCGTGCTGTATTCTAGTAACACTAAGGTGTGACATCAGGTCTACAGTAGGCCACAGTGCTGTATACTAGTTACACTGAGGTGTGACATCATCTTTACAGTAGGCCACCGTGCTGTATACTAGTAACACTGATGTGTGATATCAACTTTACAGTAACTAAATAGACTTACATGCTGTTTAGTGAATCATGCGGTGTTATACCAAGTTTTCAATATACATGTTATTATGTATATGTGTGCTCGTAACATTGAAATATGTAATATCAAATCTACAGCAAATTATCATACTGCATATAAGAAAGTGTCATATTGAATAAACAGTAGGTCATTATTCTGTAAACTAAGGTGCCATAGAAGGCCATTCGTCTGCCAGAAAACAATGTCTGATACTGTATACTCGTAACATCAGTGTTATACACTGTTTGCAGCTTTCCACCTGTCTGCTTTTTCTCATTGCATCTGCCAATACAAGGGTCCCGTTAGGTCAGTCAGAACACATATAATTATTCACAAGAAAACCAATATTGTTGGTACTAGCAGACGATACTTCACCTGGTTGGCTTTGCTGCTGTTATATAGTTCAGAGAACCGTGCCAGCAACGACAGTAGGCGTCGGATTGCGGAACTGTTCTGTTGGAACGAGCTGTGTTGGGGACAAGGGTTGTTTCCAGTTTGTTGGAGGAACAGTGGCATCTAAGACTTAAGACAGGACCAAACGGACTGCTTCATTTGCGTCTGATTCCTGAGACTGAAAACATTGCTGCTTTTGGAAAGTTTTATATTCTTACTAGTTCCATAAGCAGTCGAATTCAACATGTCTGACGAAAAGGTCGAAATTAGGAAAAAGAGACCAACGAACATGAGCACCCACACCACTGTCATCAACCGAATCTCTGGGGGAGGTTTGGGCGCGGGCCGTGCCTCCATGGGAGGAGGATTCCGATCATCCATGGGTATGATGGGAGTACCACCAGCAAGCT